CTGGACCCCTGGGTCTGAGGGAGGAGGGGCTGGGGGCCTGGACTCCTGGGTCTGAGGGAGGAGGGGCTGGGGGCCTGGACCCCTGGGTCTGGGGGAGGAAGGACTGGGGGCTCTCGAACTCGCTATCCCACCTTTTTTCTGGGCCAAGAGCGGCGGCTCACCTGGGTCTGGAGCCCTCCCGGAAGACCTCCTCATTGACACCCTTCCGCCCCTGGGGCTGCAGCAGGGCCGCCACCTGCTTGCTCTTGGCCACCAGGTTGTGGAGGTAGACGACGAGAAAGTCCCTCGCGCCGCCGGGACCCTCGGCGTGGGCCGGGCGTGGCCCGGCGTCCGCCACGTCGCGCAGCAGCTGCGCGGTGCGGGGCAGCAGGTCCTGCAGCGAGGGGGGACTGGAGGCAAGCCGGGGGTCCCCGCATTGCTGTTCCAGGCGCTCTAGCAGCTTCACCGTCCGGCGGAGCGCGTGGGCCTCTCCCCGCTTCCGCCCCCAGGGGGCTGCCGCCTCAGCCATGGGTCCCCTGGGCGTCCTGGGAGGTAGGTGTGCGGCGGGGAGAGGTGCGGCCGGGCCCAGCCCAGGGTGGGGGCGGGACCGGGCGCGAAGGGTGAGGGGGCGGGCCCTGGAGAACCTGGGAGCGGACCGCAGATACCTGGGTCTCCGAAGGGGGCGGAGGCTGGGGGGGTCTGGCACCTGGGTTCCCAGAGACGGGGTTCGAATGTCTGCTCCCCTAAAGGGAGCTGGATGGGTGGCTTCGGGGGGTGGAGGTAAGAGACGACGTCCCTGGGCAGGACGCCTGGGCCGCGTCTGGGATCGGCTGGAGGCCGAGTCCCAAGGTTGCATTGGAGGAAGAGTTGCGAGAGACCCGAGACTTGTTGGGGGTTGGGCGCAGGGCTGAGACTTTGTTATCCAAACTCAGCGGGCGAGGTGGGGCCCGGAGGCAGCACCCTGTGTCTCTTGGACCCAGGTTTGGATCTTTGGCTGTGGCCTGGGATTAAAGGTCAGAGCGCTGACCTTTCTAGGAGTTTGTGCGATGCCTTTGTCCCTGACAAGGCAAGCAGACATTACCAGATCCCTTGGACCCTTCGTAGCAGGGGTTGGGTGTCCGAGGGAGCGGAAATTTGGCAACATAATTCCTGCGGCGCCACGTGGGGGGCCAGCGGGAAGTCAGGCTAGAGTTGGGACACCCAGATTTCCCGAGGAGGTAGGCCCCTGGGTCCTCCAGGGGATAAGGGAGGATGGGGTTCCAGAATGCGGACCAAGGCGCTTCCGGTAGGCTCGCGGCTGCGGAAGCGCGGTTTTCTCGCCAACCCGCAGCATCAACCCTGTGCGCGAGACCGCCCCCCGGGTGCACCCGGGGGCGCCCGGGGCCGGGCCATCCCTGAGCCCCAGGCACCCCTTTGAGGTGGAGGAAGGCAAAGGGGGTTTAGGATGAGAACTGGCCCTCTCCTTCCAACCCCCTTTCCTACTCAGCCCTCATCCCCTCTTAGATGCCGAGAATTCTTCACTAAACGGGATCCTCGTGGGTACACCTCAGCCCCCGCGGAGACCTGACCTTTGCAGTAAGGATGGTGCGGTCTGCCTTCCAGCTCCCTGCCTTTGTGCCTTCTCTGAGCCTGTCTCCTCTCCCGGCAATAGGGTAAGAACTCTTTGGCCTGGCAAGAATTCCGATTTTTGACTATGCTAAGTGTTGATGAGAAGCCCATGGAGGTGTCAGTGGACAAATCAGTTGGAGGAAGCAGTTATTTAACATCCATCAGACCTTGGACAGGGCATGTCCATTGCCAGCTACATCTTCCAGGGCTGGGGTTTCGGAACACGTCTTCTTCTACAGGGGCATTACCTATACCTGGGGGAACAAAAAAAAACCAGTGTCACCAGCTACTTCTTACCCTGACTATGTGCCTGCGTTACAATAGCTTCTGTTCTGTTTAATTCCATTTCATTAAAGGAGAAATCGTGTTTGCAACCCACTAAATTGATTTCGCAACCCACTAATGGATATTCTTGGACAGCTTGAAAATTACTGCCCTAAGAAACTCTGAGACATGCTCAGGAATGTTAATTGCAGCCTTGTCGGAAACGGAAACAGAGAAAACTGGAAACAAGGTAAGTCCATCACCAGGAGGGATGAATAAATTGTGGTGAAGTCCCGCAAAGGCCTCCCACACCGAAGTTCAAACGAGTAAACTGAATGCACATGCCAATAGCCTGAGTCAGAAAGACAGCCTGGTGAGAGTACAGGATTGAAGAATGTGCCCCACTCCCCAATCCAAGTTCACTCGAACCTTATTTAGAAATGGAGCTTTTATAGATGTCACCAAGTTAAGATGAGGTTACACAATTAGTGTGGGTCGCAAATCCACGTAAATCCAATGTGATTCGAAATCTGGACACAGACACAGATACCTACACTGTAGAAAACTGCATGATGTCAGAGGCAGAAATTGGAGCCAAGGAATGTGAAGAATTGTTGGCAAGGTGGGAAGGGAGGAAAGGTAGGAGAGGGAAAGAGAGAGAGACGGGTCATGAGCAGGGGAGGGTCAGAGAGAGAGGGAGAGACAGACTCTGAAGCAGGCTCCAGGCTCTGAGCTGTAAGCACAGAGCCCAACGTGGGGCTCGAACCCACACACTGTGAGATCATGACCTGAGCCGAAGTCGGATGCTTAACCGACTGAGCCACCCAGGCGCCCCAAAATTCTGTTGCTTCCAGCCACTCCACGTGTGGTCCTTTGTTGCAGCAACCCTAGGAAACTAACACAACAAGTAAAAACAAACAAACCAGAAAAACAAAACAAACGTACAAAAAAGCAAGTGCAGAAGGATTGCAGCGCAATGTCATTTATACCAGGCTTGAAAGCACGCAAAACCGATGCCATATGTGATTCGAGGATGCATCTGTGTGTGATGAGGGTACAAACACATGGGTGCAAGAGCCACGGTGAAATGCAGAATATGGTAAAGGGAGAGTGGACTCTAAGAAGGGCACAGCGAGGTGTCATGTCATTAACGCTTTAATTTGAAAAATGTGGATCCACTACAGCACTGTGGCTAAGAGTTCATCTAGCTACATAGTGGCTACAAAGGCAGTGAGTGAGGGGGAGAGATCCTCAGCATCGTCATTATCAGTCGTTATCAGATGAAAATCAAAACCACGACGAGGTACCACTTCACACCTGCTAGGGTGGCTGCACTGGGAAAGACAGACAGTAAGTACTGGAAAGGCTGGGGAGACATTGGAACTGTCACATGCTGCTGGTCGGGATGTAAAAACGGCGCAGCTGCTTTGGAAAACAATTTGGAAGCCCCCCCCCCACCCCATAGAGGAAACAAAGAGGTTTTTTTTTTTAAATATTTTTATTTATTTCTCGGAGAGAGAGAGAGAGACAGCGTGAGCAGGGGAGGGTCAGAGAGAGAGGGAGTCACAGACTCTGAATAGGCTCCAGGCTCTGAGCTGGCAGTCAGCACAGAGCCCGACGTGGGGCTCGAACCCACAAACCGCGAGATCATGACCTAAGCGAAAGTCAGACGCTTAACCCACTAAGCCACCCAGGTGCCCCGACAAAGAGAGTTTATCGATGGCAAAACAGCATTATCGTACGACCCAGCAATTGCACTCCTCTGTGTATATATTCTAGAGAACAGAAAACTTACATCCACGCCAATGTTTGTGGAAACAACCTAGATGCCCGTCAACTTGACAGATGGGTCAGTTAAAAGCAGTGCACTTGTACAGTGTGGCCATTGAAAGGAGTGAAGTATTGGGGTGCCTGGGTGGCTCAGTCTGTTAAGCGTCTGACTCTGGATTTTGGCTCAGGTCAGGATCTCACGGTTCATGAGATGGAGCCTCGAGTCAGGCTGAGTGCTGACAGCCCAGAGCCTGCTTGGGATTCTCCCTCTTTGCCCCTCCCCCTCTCACGCACAGCTCTTTGAATTTACTAAAACTATTGAACCTTTAAGTAGCTGAATTGCATGGTGTACACATTATATCTCAATAAAGCTGTCTTTTAAGAACCATGGGGGAGAAGAAGGGGAGAAATGGTGGGGGAAAGGGAGAGAGGCAAACCATGAGACTCTTGAATGCTGAGAACAAACTGAGGACTCACGGGTGTGGGTGGGGAGGGGGAGATGGGCATGGAGGAGGGCACTTGTGGGGACGAGCACTGGGTGTTATATGGAAACCAACCTGACAATAAACTATTTGTAAAGAAAAAATTGAAAAAAAAAGTTTATTTATTTTGAGAGAGAGAGAGAGCAAGCAAGGAAAAGAGGAGAGAGAGAATCCCAAGCAGGCTCCATGCTGTCAGAGCAGAGCCCAGCTCAGGGCTCAAGGGCTCAGTCCCACCAATTGGGAGATCATGACCGGAGCTGAAATCCAGAGGCAGTTGCCAAACCCAACTGAGCCGCCCAGGTACCCTTCTTTTTTCTTTAAAGTTTTTTAATGTTTATTTATTTTTGAGAGAGACAGAGAGTGAGCAGGGGAGGGGCAGAGAGAGATGGAGACATAGAATCCAAAGCAAGCTCCAGGCTCCGAGCTGCCAGCACAGAGCCTGATGAGGGGCTCGAACTCACAGACTGAGAGATCATGACCTGAGTCGAAGTCGGACGCCCAACCGACTGAGCCACCCAGGCACCCCACCCAGGTACCCTTCAGTAAAGCTTTTTGAAAAGTGGAAGCCAGGGGCACCTGGGTGGCTCACCAGTCTGTTAGGCATCTGACTCTTGATCTCAGCTCAGGTCTTGATCTGAGTTGTGAGTTGACACGTTCAGTGGGGAGCCTACTTAAAAATATGTATAATTGCATATTAATATATAATAAAAAATAGAAAGCGGAGGCCAGATCCTAGAGTAGTCACAAGAGGGCGCTCCAAGTACAGACTTACCTCCTCCCTCGGGAACATTTGAGGCCACGCCCCCAGACTGGCCACGCCTCTGAGGCCCTGGCCACGCCCCAAGAATCTGACCGCACATCGGCCTGCCAGTCATCCCAGCCAGGCCTCTGAGTCTGGCCACACCTCTTGGCCACACCTCTTAGCCACACCCTAGGGCCCCGGCCACACCTCAAGGCCGTGTCTGAAGCAGCAAATTCACCGTCCCAACTTCCCAAACTCCGACCACAACTCCACGCACAGGCATAGACAGTCTTAGAAACACAGAGCCTGAAACCTTCAACTTTTAAAGCATGACTTTTTCATTTGCAATCACTTTTTTTTCTCTCTTGAAATCATTTTAAACTTGCAGGGAAGTCGCAAGAACAGGACAAAGCAAAGACTTCTTGCGCACCCTTCGCCCAGATTCACCAGTTGGGGATCGCTGATGCGCTCGATCGTGGGCTCTCTCTGCTTTTGTCCCCTCTGAACTGTTGGAGAGTAAGCTTCAGGCGTTACACCCCTTTGCCCTGAACACTAGTATTTCTACCTGGGAGGTTATTCCCGGACACAGTCACAGCGCAGTCACCAGAATCCGGACGCTTGCCAGTGATCCAGTGCTAGTTTCTAACAGTGCAGCCTAGTTCG